AGCAGAACAGAACTCAGGGGCAGGGACCAAATCTGGTGCATGACCTCAAAGGGAGATTCAGCACAGAGTGACCTGATGCTGATTGCCAGAAAGTCTGGCTCAACCGGAAGTCCTGGCTTGGTCCTCAGAGCTGGAGATAGGCCATTCCTGTGCTGGGCGCTAATGGTCCCATGTGCTCTTTGGAAGAAGGGAGCAAAAGCAGCTTGTGCTTGACAATTCTTTTCTTCCAAAACAGGATCAGTTTAGTGATTTCTAGTTCTGGATTTAGTTAAAAGCAGTTCCCAAAAACTGTAGATTTCTTCAAAGTTAATCATTTGTAATTTTTTTTGCATTCCTCAACACCTTTCTGGGCCTAAAGAAAAACCCACAAGGCCATATTATTGCAAAGCTTTACACACAAGTGAGTTTTTAAAAAAAATAACCATGAAAATTTTAAATCATTAAAATTGCTTCCCCATAAATATTAATATATTAATATATAAATATTAATATGCATCCCCATAAATAACATTTCTAGAACCCCACATATTGTGTTCTGAATTTTGTTAGTAGTTAGTAATTTCATTAATTATTCTTTTGGTTGTGAAAAATGGAGAAAGATGAGCATGCATGATAGGGAGAGAAAAAAAGAAGGAAGGCAGGAAGGAAGGAAGAGAAATATGTTAATGAAACCTGAGGATACATGATTGTGAAGGACAGACATGGAATCCCCATTTCTAGATCTCAGGATAACAGTAGAACCATGTAGCTTTTTATATTTCATAACATTATTTTGTGATTGGAAAATAACACAGGCTTACAGAAAATTTGGGAAATATGAAAAATATAAAGGAGGAAAATAAAATTACTCTGCAGTTCAGCATGGGAAATATTTTGCTATGTACCATTTGTCTATTTTTTTATGCAAATAAAAATATGAATGTTTAAAGCACAGGATTATTAGGTAGCACATCCCATTTTGAATGTCTGCTCTTTTTATAATAATAGTAATCTATTATGTTTTTTCTTATCCTTACATATTTTACAACGTGATGTTATTTTATCATATGAACATTTAATAACTTATGTTCACCTTTCTCCCATTGGTGCATATTTAAGAGTTGACTTTTTCTCCTTGCTATTATAAATAGCTTTATCACAAACATCTTTGCTGAAATCTTCTTGAGCATCCCTGAATTGCCATTCCAGGCAGAACTGTAATAACTGGGACAGAGAATTCAAATCATCTTAGAGACTATTTTCACAGACATATTTCAAAACTAGAAAGTTACCAAAACATAGAAAAGAGATGATCCTGTTTCTTCATCTTAAATAAACTCCCCAATTCTTACCATGATCTATTAGTCTTCATGTCTCATTCTTCCCACCTGGCCACTACTGATCACATGGTGTTTACTCTGAAAGGAATGCTACCTGGTAGTACAGGGCAAACAGAACAGGCGGAGCCAAGAGCCAGGCCTATAACCACTGGTGGACACTGAGTGTGCAATGGAGGAGCAGTTCTGGCTTAGAACTGATCGAAAAGGCACAACTGTTGATCAGATGTGGCATCCACAAGGCCCAGCAGGATCTGTGGCCATTCAGGGCTATAGGGCTACAGTTCTAGAAAATGGAAGGACCAAACTGTGTGGAATCTAGAATGAGAGCTACTGAGGTATTAGGTAGGTAGGAATTACATGGAAGATCTGTTGATAAGTTTAGCCAGGCTAGAGTTCAGAGGCAGAGATTTGGTCTGCAAGATCAGGAAGTTGCAAGAGTCAGACGAGGAAGCAAGGAAGTAGGTCCTGGCCTGGGATCATACTTACGGAATGAGAAAAAGTTCTGACTTGGGGTTCAAATAAATGCATAAATAATCTGGAGCACAAATCTCATTTAGGGGAAGCTGTGTCAGTTAAATTAGGCTAAATTTTGCTATAGTAACAAACAACCCCTAAATCTAAACGGTTTAAAAGAAATTTTTTATTGCTTTGTCATGCTACATGTCCACTGCACATTAGCAGGAAGGCTCTAATCTACATCGTCCTCACTCTGGATTCACAGATTAATGATTTGTATCACTTACAGTCATGGCGATGGGGCAAGAGGGCTGGATATCCCAGCATCAATAATTAAATGGTTCCACTCACCTTTCATTGTGCAGAGCAAGTCATATACCTAACTTCAAGAGGCCATGTGTCTGGGAGGAGGGGTGAACCAGAAACCTTGGTGAGTACTGGCAGTGGCTGCCAGATAATGACCAGGCTAAGTTCTAAAGAGGAGACACTATGAAGGGAGGAAAGATTCTTGATGTTTAACCACAGCTTACCTGGAGTCCTAAGTTCTCTTTTATCTAGAACCTACAGTAGTACTTAAGTTTCTGCAGACCAGAAGTCCTGTTCCAACCAGCACGAAGAAGGAGCAGCAGAGCCATGGTGGGCACTGATTCTGGGGGACGGTGTAGTTAGAGAAACTCCACAACAGCTGCACCTTGAGCTCATGACCAAATAGGATGAATTCTAGTATGCCCAGGCTATTAGGGTCGCCACCTTAACCGTCCTTCAAATTTGTACTTTTAGATAGTTGGTGGCAAATTGATACCCCTAAGTAGCGTTGTCATGATTTAGTGTCCTAGGAAAAAAAAAAAAAAGCATCTGTGTGCATCCAGATTTATAGTTTTAAATGTCAAACAGCTGAATGACATTGTGAGCCATGTTAATCTCAGATACGAATATTTGGGGACATTTGTTTAAGGTAAGAAAACCACCACCCCAGCATCTCATTCTGGTGATGATGACAAAATGATGGAATCTTAGTTTTTGGAAGGCCTTCTCAGGCTCTTTACAGTCCCTAAGTACTTCTAGAACATCTTTTGCCTTTGGGACTGTGCAGGGTGTAGCTCCTGACCTTCAGCAATTATACCTGAAAAATGACAGGAGAAAAGAAGCACTCGCTTTATATTCATTCCAAACATAGTTTAGATTTGGGAGGATCTTATGAAGCTTCAGAAAAATGCTAATTTCACATTTAAGTCACCAAGAAAGAAATTTGTGGTTTTTCTCTTCATAATAAGCTTTTCTAAAGGAAGAGATTTCTCACTTAGATGTAGTTTATCAAATCTAAAGTAGGGGGTGGGGAATAATCAAGTAAATTCTGTGGAAATCATTTATTTTACTATATAGCACCATACAAATGTCATGTCAGCGTAAACAAAAAGTGTGACTTATAAACATTCTCCAATATGGGATACATTTTTGCTAATTAACAGTATACTCAGCAAGTAAGTTGCCTAATTGATTTGCAAAAGGTTAGGGTTATCAGAATGGGCTTCATTGTCAATATCATGATTAGTTCTGGTACAGATTCTAGTGAGGTATGTGACCTGAATAAGCATGTAGTTCAGTTCCTGTCTGCATGGGATCATTTAGGTAGCTACATGCCAAATATCAAGTGCTTGCACATCCTAACAATATGTGATTATGAAGATCCCTAGAACTTTACTTAGATTCCTTACAATGTTTTATTCCCTCTGCAAAAATAAAAAAATGTTTAACTATAAGAACCATTATAAATTCTCGCTTTGCAAAAGAGGATGTATATATTATAAATATTTGACATATATAGAAAATTTTAAATGTTAAAATACTGTATCTCCAGGGAGACTTTCAAGATTAATTTCTTGCAAATCTTTGGAAGTCTTTGAAATAGAAAAAAAAATAATGCCCTCAGAGGCAGTCTTCTATGTGTTGGTAGTCAATTCAACTAACTTGACCAAAAGTAGGAAGTCTTATCATTTATAATTTACTTTGTGATTTATCCAATTTTCATGTGATAAATATCATTCATAATAGAAGAATAACCCTGCTCATCAATCAAGAAGACTCATACAGGGGTTGAAAATGATGCAGATATCCCATAGTGACTGCTGCCAAATTGTCCCCTGTGTCTTTATGTCCTTATGCCCAAATCATTGAGAATGTAGCTGTAATTAGGACCCTCAACAGGTTAGAAAGGCAGAAACTAGCATTTCCCATGCCTTGGTGCATAATGGCTCAGCAGTTTGGAGAAAAAGATATAGCTTCAAACACCGGAGATTTTGAAATACAGGTTAAGAAATATGGGTTAAGCCAAGAAAGTCAAACTTGAATACTTTTAACTGACTAATGCAATAAGGCTTTCCTTAAGGAGATGGTCCTAATTTTTTGTATTCTCAGTTGAGCCTTTAAATTTCTTCCATTTCTGATTCTTTTAGAAAGCGACTATTTTAATTTTGATCTTCAGGTTGCTGAATATAACCGCTCCTCCCATTTTCCCATCTTGTACCGATGCATTTTTGTTTGGTGGAGACTTATTTTTCCTTTTTAATTAATTGTCAAGCATTGTGACAGTATGAAAAAATGGGCATGCTCTTATCTTATAAATTGGCATCACTTTTCTGAACATCCATTTGGTGATGATAAAAAAAATTTTAAGTAAATAAATAAAGAAAAGCCTGAAAAACATGTATGTTTTTTTGACTTAGTAATGACATTTCTAGAAATCAATCCAAGAGTCAAATATTAAGGAATTGACTAAATATATTATGCTACATCCACATGATGGAATATGAAGTAACCACGAATAACCATGCTATATCAAAAATAACTAATGATAGTAAAAAATGTAATGTGAAATAAAATGCATTGTTAATAAAAAAAGTAGGTCATCAAACAATGTGAACAGAATGATCCTAATTATGTTTTTTTAATTATATATATATATGGGAGAGAGAGAGAGAGAGAGAGAGAGAGAGTGTGTGTGTGTGTGTGTGTGTGTCTGGAAGGCTTTATACCAAAATACCAATAGCTATATCTTCAAAAGAGGATTGTGAGTGATTTTTACTGTATAATTTCTACTTTTCTGTATTTTTAAAGTTTCAAAATGAATCCATTTTACTTTGAAATTAAAAAATTTATATTTAAAATACATTTATTAGATGTACAACAATGTGAATATATTTAAGGCCATTAGTCTATACACTTACAAATGGTTAAAATGGTAAATTTTTATGTTATGTATATTTTACCACAATAAAAAGGATACATTTAGTAGTAAATCTAGGTGTCCTTGCATTTGTTGATGACTTTTTAGATATGACACCAAAAGCATGATCCATGAAAGAAAAAGTTGGACTTCATTAAACTTATTAACATCTCCAAGAAAGACGCTGTTAAGAGAATGAAAAGATAAAATACATTTGGGGAGAAAATATTTACAAAACACATATATGATGAAAGACTGATATTCACAACAGAGAGAAAATTCTTAAAACAAAAAAGAAATCAGATTACCTAATTTACAAATAAGCAAGAGATCTGAACTGACACCTCACCAAAGAAGATAGATAGATGGCAAACAAGCACCTGAAAATATGCTCTACATCTTATGTCATGAGAGAATTGCAAATTTAAAACAAGGACATACAACCACTTACCTATTAAAATGGCTAAAATCCAAAACACTGATACAACCAAATGCTGGCAAGGATGTGGAACAACAGGGACTCTCATTCATTTTTGCCATTCATTGCTGGGAGGAATGCAAAATGAAACAGTCACTTTGGAAGACAATTTGGCAGTTTCTTACAAAACTTACATTACTCTTATCATACAATCCAGCAATTGCATTCCTTGGTATTTGTCTAGATGAGTTAGAAACTTACGACCACACAAAAACCCGCACGTGAATGTTTATAGCAGCTTTCTTCATAATTTCCAAAATTTAGAAGCAATCAAGACTTGAATAAATAAACTGTGGTACATCCAGACGACGGAAAGAAATGAGCTATCAAATCACAAAAAGACATAGAGGAAATTTAAATGCACGTTATTAAGTGAAGGAAGCCAGTCTAAAAAGGCTACCCACTGCATGATTCCAACTCTATAACATTCTGGAAAAGAGAAAACTATGGAGATAGTAAATAGATTAGTAATTTCTAGGTTTTCAGGGGAGGGAAGGATGAATATTGAAGCACAGGGGATTTTGGGGTCAATAAAATTATTCTGTATTATATTATTCTGCAATGGTGGATATATGTCATTATACATTTGTTAGAACCCATAAAATGTATAACACAAAGAATGGATCCTAATGTAAAACTAGGGATTTTAGCTAATAATGTACCAATATTGTCTCATAAAAATAAACAAAAATTACATTAAAATATTATTTATCTTGAAAAAATATATTTACTAACCAAAATAAAGGTCACTGTTTCCAGTCACAATTCTGCTTTTAAAATATTTATTTCCATTTCCATAATTATCCCTTGGTTACTCACTTTTTTTATACAGTTCAATTTTTTATTTTAATTAAGTCAGAATATGCACAGCACATGCAGGCTAGTATCTAAACTAATATAATAAGCTACAGTGACTTAAGGTTCAATCTTTGCATTCGGCAAGTTTAAATCCATCCTTATGTGATTTTAAAACCTTATGTACTAACTGAAAATATTGCTCACTGATAAAACTTTCTCAAATACTATTGCTGAATGTACAGTCACTCATTTTGCCAATACAACAAAGATAACCACATGTCTGAGTATTGCAATGTGCCAGACATTGACTGAAAAAAAAAATACACACAACTAACAAAACTCATGCAGTAAACATCTAAGAATCTGAACACTTCATCAGTGTTTCGAAGTGTTTCATTAATATCTTTAGACAAGTGTATCAAAACCGTGGCATAATATGAAGAAGGCAATTTTGTTTTTACCAGCATCAGAAAGTTATATCTACACTGCCAATGCCAGGTCTGCTTAATTTTACTTAAAAAATTTATATGACAACATTACAAACTCACGCTACCCTGAGATTAGCATGCCATGGTAATTTATGGTGTCTGACAGCAACCCTAGAAATTTCAAAGCAGATAATTTTCATATTACATAACAGTAATATGATTACTGATTCAGTGAGAGCCCCAAGTCCCATCATTTTTACATTTTGATTAATAATTTCACTATCTTGAATAAATAATCCCTATAGAGTTTGGGGATCTAATTTCTCAAGATTCTAATAAATGTTTCAGTAGAAACCAGGGCAAAATACTCACATGTATAAACCTTAAGAGTTCTGTTATTTCCGATGATAACACAGCATTAGGGAAAAGGAAAAATAAGATGCCAATGGTATTCATTTAACATAAATATATTATAAATATATTTATTGTTCTCTGTGAATACACATGCAGGTGTAATTTTCACAGCACGGAGGCAAGACAGGACTTCAGAACTGAGACTGGGACTGAAAAAGCCTCTTCTATCTGACAATTGAGACAAATACTATAAGCAGCAGTGTCAAAAGTGAGGTGGCTAATTCAGTCCCAAGGGATCTGCTCAGGTGCATAGCATATAACCAAAGGGGCCTCCTGGCACCATTACTACTCAACGACACATGGGCTTACAAGGCTTTTTAGTTTTAAAAAAACATATTCATCAGCTGGAAATACATGAGAGTTAGAGTTAACTTTTGAAGTGAGGAAGCTGGACAGAACTGGGCACTTGAGATGATCCCAGGCACATAGCATGGAATTGAGTCTAAGACCCCAGGTCCCTCAAAGAACCTGGAGTGGAATCAGTTAGTCAAATCAAAAAGTCAGTCTTTTCTGTAGAGCAAACACACAAGCTCAGGTCCCACTATGGATATGAATGGGATTATAATTAATTCATTGTTGTGGTCACTATTGTGGCTTGGCTGTCTGGGTCTTGCCAACTCCAAGAAGCCAGAGAGTGACACTAATATTAACTTTATTTTCATGCATCTCTCTGAGATTAAAATATTAATTTAGTCCATAGAGAAAAACATGGTCATTAGACTTACATACTATCATGAGAGCAATTATTCCCATCAGATATCAGTCCTCAGGATTCAGTCCTTGCCTGGAGCTATGCATTTTGAAATGCCAGGTACTTTCTCATATAAGTTGGCAAGTCGTCTAGCTTGCTGTTTGATGTTGTAATCAGGTAGTTGATGTTACAGATTAGTAGATACTCAAATCTCTGCCCTACAGGGAGTGCTGACATTGCCATGAAACAACTTGTTAAATTTGGCACTCTATATTGCATATCTGGTCTGCTAAACGAGTATTATACAAAGGGAAGATGCATCATATCTTAAAATTATAGAAGTGTAGAGCTGAAAGAGACACTGAATATCTAAACTTGCACTCTCATTTTATATGTATTCCCCCAAACATTGTACAATCCTAGAGGGCATTACCTGCTTCTTTATATTTGGAATGCAAAATACCTTAGATTTTTTTACTTTACAACCCCTCTGAGAAGGGAATGCTCCTGTTTATTGTATGCATGTCTTTGCTCCTTGAGTCTCTCATGAGAAGGCCAAGGTTCCTCCAGGGTGTGGTGCTTAGTATGTCTAAGGGTTCAATCTTGCTTACTATTGCCTCAAAATTAAAGAGGAAAATTTAGCCAGTTCCCCAGTGGATCTTTTCATTGCCGCACAGTGTCAATGTGGAAACAGAAAGTGCAGTGGGTCCAGTGTAAGGCCTTATTTATCATACCAGACTTCCCTGGTTCTCCACAAGTGCCAGAGGCAAAGATGGATCAGGGTTTCCAATGTTAAAGCCTCTCTAGGGACACTTTATACACAAAGAAAGAACCATTTTTCCCCACCCACGATGTTAAGGAAGGGTTCTAGTGTCGTCCAATGTATGCATAGAACTAGTTTCCACCGATCTCCACTATTTCTATTCTTATGATGAGTTTTTACATCAGGGGGATTTTCTTTACCTTGATATATGAAAATGAATAAATTTTCTTCTTCAGGAAAGACTTTCGTGAGGTCCAGTAGGGCCAATATTTATCATCTCCATCTGAGTTAGTAGTTTATTTATTTATCCTCTATTTTGAAAAGCAAACTTTGGATTGAGAAATAAGTAAATGGAGAGTGAAGGGTGGGAGTCAGGTGTCTCAGTGTTAGATGGAGAGATTACAGATAAGCAGAGGGAAAGGCTAAAATAAACCATATGGTACTGAAGTAGAGTTATAGACATTACTATAAACTCATGCTTAGCTTACTACAAATACAGATGGATAAATACAGAAATAATTACAGGTATATCTGTATACATACACAAGTTAGTATACACGTATATATTTTCAAGCACTGTTCACTGCAAAGGCCTAGAAATAACAATAGCAGCAAGCACACCAGGTGCCCGGATGTTGGTATCTAATACCAATAAAAGGAACCTGACTTCATTGGAGAAATGACTGATTCAATGACTGGGGCAGGGAACGTACAGGTAAGTCTGGAGCAGCTTATAGTGCCAGAAAGTAAGAAAGTTCTAACAACAACAACAACATGATTGGAGAAAGACAAGGGAAATCAGGAGCCAAATATAGGAGCTGCCAGTGGCCAAAGCTGGAACAATTTGAGCAATAGAATAAATAAGGCAGGGTTGGATTATAATCAAAGTGTAAAATGAGTCCATTATAAATAAATACTTGAATGAATAAATGTGGGAGAATAACCAAATCTCCTATATAGAAGAATTCCAATTGATTGGGAAGGAGAACATAATTCCCCACTCCTTTAGTATGAGCTGAGCATAATGATCTCTTTCCAAAAAAGTATAGTATGGAAAGAAGGAAAAAGAATAACTTTACAGTGGAAAAACCTAATTCTAACTCAGCCATATAAGTAAGTTTCGTAACATCAGTCATGTCATGTTGATAATACATACTCTTGATATGATGCAATGGAATGGCACATTATCTCTATGCTGTTCCTCCCCCAGACCCTAACCTCATTCTAAATAAGATGAAAACATCAGACAAACCCAAGAGAGGGACATTCTACATAATACTTGACTGGTCCTCCTCAAGACTATCAAAGTTATTGAAAACAAGGAAAGTCTAAACAACTCTCAGTCTTGGGGACCCCAAAGAAACATAAAGACTACTTGTAATATGGTAATCTTAGTGGAATCCTGGGACAGGAAAAGAACATTAAGTAAAAACTAAGGAAATCTGAATATAATACAGACTTCACTAAATAATAATAATGTATTGATATTGCTTCCTTAGCTGTGACATATGCATCATTCTAATGGCAGATGTTAATAACTGGGGAAACTGAGTGCAGAGTACATGGGAAGTCTGCTGTTTTGCAACTTTTCTGTAAATCTAAAACTATTCTAAAACAAATTTTATTTTTAAAAAGTTAGAAGTTTGAAAGGAGGTGACTAGCTTTGTTTTCTATTTGTTTCTATAGTATGGGTAACTTGTCACCTATTTCTATTTTATAAGATTGTCACTGCAGTAAAAGGGTATTGTATAGAGCCAGATGGAGGATTTATAGCTCCTGTGGATAGAATGTGACTGATTTTCTCTCCTAGCGCATGCTTCTCTGGCTCTTTAGCATTCTGCTGCCTTTGGCCAGTGAATTGGCTGCCTTCCTGGGTATGACAGATTGCTAACTCTCCCAGGCCAATTCACAGGCTGAAGATCTCCTTAGCTAAATGGAGGAGAAATGTTGATAGTGTCTTTGCCAGTCACTGTT